CGAAAAAAGAGACCTTCTGGTACTACGGAGTACAGACGGTGGCTTCTTGTGGGTAGAGGGTGCGAGAGGGTGCGTCTTGGTGATGGATGAATCGATCGACGAGGTACTCCAGACGCTGCACTTAGAGTTAGCTATTGGAGTATTTGAAGTTTCACTCCGTAGATGCTTGCCCAGTCCTAGCAAAAACATGGCGCAATCTTTTTTGATCGCATCGTGTGGCCGGCCTTCCCGGTCTTATGTGATGGTTGAGCATTGAGGGCACAGACCGGCCGAATGTTTGACTGATAGTACAACAGAGTTTGACTGAGTCCCCGGTCCATGGCTATCATTGAATGGATGCCTTCTTTGCCAAGACGCTGCACATGCAAAGGTCGAGGGCGATGAAAACAGCCGTGCCATCAACGCGGGGAGCACAGGACAAGACTACTTACCTAGGCAAGTATGTATGTAGGTAGAGAGTACGAATTACTAGAACATCTGCGTGCCTGGATAAAAAGGAACTGCAAATAGGCCGACTCCGGGTGCTTGGTCGCACACTGGTACAATGAATGGCTCGGTCAAGAAAGCAGTCCCGTGCAACCTGTGATGATATTCTTCATTTTATTTTCAAAATTCTTTGCAGGCCAAAAAGGACCAGCCCATGACGGGACGACGGGGTCATGCAATACTTTTAGCCCTTATGCTTCCACGCGAACATTTGGAGCTCCCGGGCTGCTTCTAGTACCAGACATGGACTCCATTTGTTAAGGAGCAAAAGGCAAATCCCTCTCCCGCCCAGGCCACCTTCCCTGCGATTTGATCAAATACTCGCCACTTGCCTCCACATGTGCACCCCCCCGACCTCCAGTGCTTGAAGTGCCAGGCTCAAGTTAAGTGCTCCCAACCACCCCCTGGGTCCCCGGCCGCTCCCCCGTCTGGTTCAAGGTGTTCTAGTCAATAACAACGGCCCATCACTTGCATCCACTCGAGCAGTACCTGGTTGCTAGGGCTAGGCATTACGGAGTATGTGCGTATGGAGTACGAGTACTTGCTCTACAATGTTGTATTGTAATACAATCTCGATAATGGAGAAGGGAGTAGGAAGAACTACACATATGATATGCAAGTGCCAGTTTGTCCAAGGCCAACTGCTTTTGAGAGGGCGGCTGGCGACATGAAGCGTGAGAAAGAGAGAGAGCCGCGGAATTGCGCCGGCGCGAATCGAACGACGAGTGAGCCTGCGGCCGAACATCTGGAAGCATTGAATAGCAGCAGCGCTCGCGTAAGCGCTAGGTAACCTCTAGGTACTCGAGGGCAGGCTGCATTGCATAAGGTACCAGACACCTACCTACCTCTAAGTACTTAAGTAAGTAGGGACTTGAGTACTTATCCGGCAGGCAGGTACTCCATCCTCTGTCCATATCTGGGGCCAAACACACTTGCGGGCATGCACATTTGGGCCGACCGAGGACGGACATCAATTGATAGAGGCTGGAGTGCATGGTCAAGATTGTCCCTGGCTTGGACCTCGACCCGCCTTGCCTCCATGTCCACGAGCCACCACCCGACCCCCCGGCCACACCAGACATACCATTGACCGCATACCACCATACCACCACATCACCACCACCAACCACGTTAAGCCGGCCCCAGCCAGGGTCCAAGTCGAGGTCTCGCGCACCCACGCCAGCACACGCACCCTGCCACCAATCACTTGGGGCCCATCGTCCGCCATCCTCCGTCCTCCACTTGCGGTTCCAGTCTGGTTCCAGTTCCAGTTCCAGTCCCAGTTCCGCATTCTCCATCCTGGGTTATCTTTGTCCTTCATCTTTCCCAGCTATTTTCGGCCTCGACAACATCGTCGTTCGCCTCGTCACCCAGCCGTTGCCGCTGTGCTGTGCATCGCTCTCTTGGTTTTCTCTTCCGTCTCTGACCCTCAATTCCGCTGCCGAGTCGCTCAACTCTCTCCGTTGACTGCGCGCTTTGTCTGTCGCTGCTATTCAGCACGGCCCCTTACTTCGTCTTACGACATACACCAAGCCTTCCTTCGCGAAACCCCCCCTCCCCTCCTATTTTTGATTTCGCGCAAGCCGCCCTTGACCCAGGAAATCCCCATCTTCACTCACAATGGCTGCGTCCACCAAGGTATGCTGGCTCTGCTCGACCAATCCGTCCAAAGATGCCCCCGTCTTGCCTTTGCCTCTCGTCTACCCACCATCCTGTTGGGCTGGCTCTGTTTCCCTAATTGTCGACCCCTTCGATGCCGTTTCGTTATATTTTACAAGTCACACACACGACGACGTACAGTTCATGCAGTCTTCTGACAAGTTACTTTGCGAAATTAGTTTTTGAGAGAGTACAAACTCGTTGTCGTCGGTGGCGGCGGTGTTGGTAAATCTTGTTTGACCATCCAATTGATTCAAAGTCATTTCGTCGACGAATATGACCCTACGATCGAAGGTGCGTCCCAGTCGACGACAGGCTCTGCGCCATCGCTTTTCTCTTCCTCATTGGAATGCACCCGGTCGTGTCAGAAAATTCTAATGTAGCCGGTTATCACAGATTCATATAGAAAGCAATGTGTTATCGATGACGAGGTCGCCCTTCTCGATGTTTTGGATACCGCAGGTCAGGAGGAATACAGTGCTATGCGCGAACAATACATGAGAACCGGCGAGGGTTTTTTGTTGGTCTACTCAATCACATCTCGACAAAGCTTTGAGGAAATCACCACCTTCCAGCAACAAATCTTGCGAGTCAAGGACAAGGATTATTTCCCCATGGTTGTAGTAGGCAACAAGTGTGATCTGGAAGGCGAGCGGGAGGTAACCAGGCAAGGTACGTACTTGATGCATATATTTGAACATATTTGTATATGCAATGCAAATGCTCCTCGGACCTATCTGGGACTGGCTGCTGATTCTTCATTTTAAAATATATAGAGGGCGAGGCTTTGGCGCGATCCTTTAACTGCAAATTCATCGAGACTTCGGCAAAGTCGCGAATCAATGTTGACAAAGCGTTCTACGATATTGTTAGAGAGATCCGAAGATACAACCGCGAAATGCAAGGTTATTCGACTGGCAGCGGCGGCGGTTCAGGGGTAAACGGCCCCCCCAAGCCCATGGACATGGAGGACGGCGAGAAGGAGGCCGGCTGCTGTGGCAAGTGTGTCATTATGTGAGGGACGAAGCAGAGAGAGCTGTTGTGATGATAAGAGGACGGTGGAGAGGGTTGATTTTTGATTTATACAGCAGTTGGCTGGGTCGACGCCCACTGCAGCAATCGGGCGACCACATCAAAAAAGTAACACCTGTGGAAGACAGGGAGTTTCATATTCACTATCTCTTTGGCTTTTAAGCAAAAAACAAAAAACTCTCAGGGACCACAAAGCACAGCAACGGCTGTGATACCATTGTGGCGGATTGCCAGGACGGATGAGAAAAATATTTTCACTGCATCGGACGAGGAGTCGGGTTCGGACTTGGTTGCATGCACACGCTTTCTTTGACGGACTTTCGGACGGCTTGTACAAAAACCATGATGCCATTCGAGAACGACGAGGATTATTGGCAATCCAGCTGTGCGGCATTGTTTTGTCTTTTTCAGCGTAACATGACTACTGATAGCCACGCACTATACTTTTTTTTTTTTTTTTGGAGATGCCACGGGCTAAGAATCTCATTGTCCATCCAACGATTCCCGGCTGCGAGATTTTCAAGGGCCAATGAACGTCAGGGCAGAAGGTAGACGAGAAGCCAGCTTGCGCAAATGAAAAGGGGCACAAGACACAGAAAAATGGCGAGAAGGTTTCATGAATCTGTTCATGTTGGGGGCCCAGGAAAACATAATACCAAGACGGACACAGAAAAGAACAGGGACATTGTTATTGCATATGCAATTCAGCAGAGGCTTCGCGAGGGTTGTTAACACCCGCCTTGGTGTTGCTGGATAAGGGATGAAGTTGATCTGATATTGCTACTGTTTTATTCTCCTCCTCATTTCCTTCCCCCCCGCCTCTATTCCTCTTACTGCTCTTGATCCTTCTGTCATGTCTAATCTTGTCCTTGGTCCTTGCATGGCCTTTTATGTTTGTTTGTTTCCTGAGTGGATTTTCTTTTACCCGATAATGGGTTGGTTCTTGTGATCATATTACTTCGAGTATATCCCCCCCTTTCCCCCAAACTATTGGTCAAGTAACATGTAATTCATTTTTCAATTTTTCCTGTCTGGAAATTCTCATGACGCCTTCTCACTCTATGGGTGTCTACTTCCCCCAACGCCAAGACAAATATATTTGCTGAACCTCTATGTTGTGTCTGTCTATGATGTGCTACGCTATGCCATGCTACTGTGGATACATTGCTACATGTATATGGACATGCATATGCAGCTGCATACCGTGGTGATAAATGTCATGCTGATTTGCGCTCGTTGTCTTCTTTTGCTCCGCGCTGCGCTGTCCATGTATGTACTACACACTCGTGTCCCGTGTTCCCTGTCCCGTGTCGCGTGTGCGATTCCCGTTTCCCGTGCCTGGCTCCTTCCTATTGGTACTCTTTTTTCTTTCCGTTTCTTGCTTATTCCCTTTTCTTTTCTCGCTTCAATCTACTTAGTAGTCAAGAGCACACCGTCTCAATGGAATTTTCCTACTCGCTCCGGTTTCGTTGCTGTACTCGGGGTACCTTGCCCAGGCAGCATACCCTCGCGCACCTCGTGGCTTGTCCGTGTCTGGCTCCTCTCAGCTGCATTTCCCCTGCGTCGAATTCCAGGGATGGTGACCGGTGGGCGTGCAAGTTGGGAGAAAATCCAACATCACGACCCCAGGGGGAAATATGATCTCGGATGCAACTCCCAAATCTCGCCAGCTCACCGATCTGCACGCGAGGTCTGGCCATGCGGCCTGGGCTCACCATATAAGCCGCCATTCGTTTCCCCTTGCCTCTCGTTCGCCTGCACTGGCGAGTCTTCAGCCAGCTCACTCCAATCAGTCCCGGTCCTCTGATGGCACCGGGTCAGGATCAAAAACTCGCTTTATGATCAAGGCCCCAGTCTGACACTGACGCTGAAGGAAACCAGCTAAACCAGCCACCAATTATTGCGTTCTTCTTTGGCTGGTTGAGGACCAGTCCGCCACATACAAGACATGCCCACGACACTGTTTCTTCCGTTGACGTCCCATCCGCGGAAAGGAGTTCGTGGTATGATGGTGAAGGGTTGGCCATGTCCTTCGGGTGGTGCACGAGACATACTGGGCATAGGCCTTGTTCACCCTCCCCGATTCGCCACTCCCTCATCCTGTTGGATTGATACATGGCGTAGCGTGCGTACTTGACTCGATGAGACAGACACAGATGCGAGTCGAAGATGTTGGGACCGCAAGTGCATCCAGTAATAGGATGCTCAACAGGGCAAAAATTCATACCCCGGCTGTTGACGGCTAGACTTCCAAGGAGAGTGGTGTTGTTTGTGAACCGGCAGCCCCAGACGTCCTTTGCACCGAGCAAGTACATGTCACTGAGGGATCCCCCAATGACGCGACTGTGGCAAGAATTGCAAAAGTAGGCACGCATGGCTACGATGTCGACCTTGGTCATCCTGCTTGGGCTTTTCGACAAAAGGCCATTGTCGTGTAGTGCGCAAGACTCACAAACTGAATGGGGGATGTTGCCGTGCTCAATATCTTGACAAACTCTTCCGGTCAAGCCAGTACACATTGTCCTTTGTTCCCTGCATGAGAAACGCTGGGGTGGCATGGTGACCGAGTTGGAAGCAGTGCCGCGAATGCCGCGAATGCCGCGGAAGACTTGATTGATGGGGGAATGGCGGACAAGAGAACCGTTCATGATGCTGAATAGGCCGAAATTCGTCGATCCATTGCGGTTTTGCCAAAAGTCATCCCATATGGATTTTTCACAGGGCGGCCTAGTTTGGCAGAACAACTCTCCCCAGCGACTTGATTGATTGTCGTATACATCGAATGAGTTGTTGTGGTACTCGTGGTAACGCTCCGAGTCGGACAAGGTAAGACGAAGCTGGGCTCCCCCCGAAAGAAGGTTGCTTGGTATCGTCACGAATGTGGCATTGTTGGCTACATTGGGAGCTGTGCTGACCATGTAGGTATCAACAGCGCCGCTTCCAGTCTGATCACGCTCACCGGTGATGTTGAAGGTTGGCTCTGTAACTGGCATTATCTGTAGGTCCTCCTCTCCGTCAGCCAACTCCTCGACGAGTGTAGTTGTATCTGGCGCTCCTGCACCAGTATTCATAAACTTTGACTTCATATAGGCTTTGGAAACGATTTTCATGTCTCTGTTCTTTGCATAATCACTTCTGTCGCACTGCGGTGTCCATTCTGGCCAGCGTTTCACCATCCACGTCCTGAGTTGGTCAAGTGTGATGTCATCTACATTGACGCCGTAAAGCTCACCACCAGGAGCTCCATTCGGAGGCGCGCCCCGAGCGATCAATGCCAATCTCATTCTTTGCGTTTCGGCGACAAGGACTTGCTTGTTCTGCTTAAGAACCTCGCCCTTTCTCTTGGCGACTGTCTTGAAGGCATAGCGCGCGAACGGCGGGCCGATGTAGTGCTCAATCTGCATTCCGTCCTTATCGTCATCCACGCCTCCCGGCCCGTAGCCCATACTCAAGTAGTACAGCGGCCCCGGCTTCACCATCATGTTCTCGCCGTGGTTGATGCGGCGATTCAAGCAGTTCAGCGTGCGCGAGGCTCCAGGTTGCCACTCGTCGCACATGTGCCCTTCGCCGCTGAAGAAGCAAGAGTCGCAGGGTCGTTGGCGATCGCAGTTTCTGCCCGTGGCCTCGCACCGGGCGCACCGGGCAAAGGGGCAGAAGTTGCCGATGCCAACCCTGCTGAGGTCAAAGAGCGGGTAGATCTTGTTCTCGTCGTTCAAGTCGCGGCACACCATGCCCGTCTGCCAGCACCAGTTGCAGGCGTACTCGGCGTACTTTGCCGACGCCCGGCAGTGACGCTTCTGGGCGTGGCACTGTCTGCACTGAGGCCTCGTCACGATGTCCTTGTCGCCTCTCAATTCCACCCATCCGCCGCCCAGATCGGCCTTGCTCGACCACTCGGTAGGCAGCTCCAAGCGAACGGGATGGCCAACCAGCATGCCGCCGTCAAAGCAGGACATGTTGCCCTCCTTGCACTGGAGGCAGGGCTCACGAGTATCTCCGGGCCCTCCCATATCGCGCGAGTCTAACCAGCTGCAGACCTGGACGCCCCTTTCCTTGTCAGGCCTGCTCTTGCAAATGTCACACTCGCGTCGAAACCACTTCTGTCTTCCCCTTTGGAGATTCGGCTTGGGGCCCATTTGTCTTTCGATCTCGTGTCCCCAGCCCAAGTTGGCGTCGCCCGTCATCCCCTTGACCACGCAGAGCTCCGACTCGCTGTCCTTGGTCTTCAGGCAGTTTGTACATCGTAGCTGCAGGAAAGGATCGGCATCACAACGGCTGTCTTTCACCTTTTTGTTGTCTTTGCACGCCTCGCAGACGATGGGCTTGGGGTAGTTGACTGGGTGGGAGTCCGAGTAGCGTTTGAACACTTCTAGCTCTGGGTGCTGACCCGAACGGAAACATTTATAATCCAGGTCTCTCGTGTCGTATCTGTGGTTGGCACACGCGAGACATTCATGGACCAAGCCGTCGATGATTTGCCTATCGCACGCCGGGGTTCTGCCATCTACATCGAGTGGGAGCTTGAGGCAGTGATCGCAGGTCAGGTTGTCGGCACCGCTCTCCTGCTTTACGGCAAGTCGTTGGTCCAGGACGGCATACTTGTCTTGAACTTCATCTTCGGATCCGTCCATTTGGACCTCGATAATGCTGTCACTGTCCTCGTCGCCCCCCGTGTCTTGATTGTTGGTGGTCTTGGCACGCTTTGACGGACAGGCGGCGGGAGAGTTGCTGCGCCGTCTCTTTCTGTGCCAGGTCGACATGCCCATTCGGCCGTCCATCTTGACGGATTTCGTGACGCGGAGAAAGTAAAAAGTGACCCAAAGATGGGACACAGCGAGTCTCGGGTGCTTCACAAGCTAAGTGATTGCTTCCCTCAGTTTACAGTATGGCCAAAACCCAGTTCTAGCCAAGGAGAAGCAAGCGCTGGGCATGAAAAGCAGAATGCTGAGAGTAATAAGAATGACGGAAAGAAGATTGTTGTTGTTGAAAGTCACTTCTAAGAAGCCCAAGGACAGCGATGAGACTTAATATATTTACGGATTCGGACGCCATGGATGCCGTCCATTGTGCCTGTGCCTGTGCCTGTGCCTGACTAGTGATTCTTTGGACTATTATACCAACTGGCCATGAACGAGCAGATGGATGGCTGTTTAGCTTGAACAAGGTCTACATAGGATGGTCTATGAAGTGAAACAACGCCTATATCCGTGCTAACAAAAGGGTCTTTTTGTGTAACCGCAAAAGAAACCAGACGAGATAGCCGAGCAGTGATATGAAAGAGCCGCACATCGAAATAGGAAACACAGGGCAGCAGTAGACTTGAACACGACAAAGAAGTTTAGGCGAAGAAGACGGCAGTCTTGCACGCATAGGGTCTTTTTTTTCGCGTTTGGCCTATAGGAACAATGAATCCTTTTTTTGTTACAGACTGTTGGTGTAAACCCAGCCAGGAGCGGCTTGTGCATTTCATCCTTTCTCCAGGACAATGCCGTGAGTGAGATGGAAAAGACGAAGCGAGAATCTACATAGTCCTGCTTCTTATTCACACCTGCAAACATTCTTTCACTTCTCTACGGTCCTCTCTGCCCATGGCAAAACACCACTTTTTGTCTTCGCCCCTCTCCCTTTCAGCAGCTCGCCTCCGTCACAGACGTCCCTCTTAGATCATGGCTCTCCCGCCGAATGCCTTTTTCGCTTTCACCGTGTTCTTTCTCGCCGCCCGTGATTCCTTCCATCCCGCAGCCCAGGACGACTTTGCTCTTGGCGTCGATTCCATCAAACCCGTTCTTTATACACGCGGAGAACAGATACGACGACACCCGTGGTCGGTCAGGATGCGTCGGCAAACCACGCGGCCTCTTTGACGCCCAAACCCACGATTGCCCACCCCTTGGCGCAGATACCACCGCGCCCACCCCCCGCCGGGGGCTTGTGCCTGCGAACCCATTGCCGAACGAGGGAGGGCTGCTGCCGTGATTGAAGCCTCTGAAGCGCCCTCCTAGTCCTTTGCATCGTGTTGGAATTGTGGCGGCGGCGCCGTCGAAGCGGTCCCAGGAGGCGAGTTCGGCCTTGGGGCCCCCATTGCTTGCGGCTCAGACCGCCGGCCAGCCCTGAAGCCCGGCTCTTTGTCTCGGGCATCCACTTATACATACAATGCTGAAAATACATGCCGAGTGTACGCGAGTCACAGGGGAAGAAACCTTCCATGTTTGTACGCAAGGCCACGGCCCCCCGTGTGGTGTCTTTTCATCGGGGGGGAGAGCGCCTCACGGGAGAGAGGGCGCCCCTGGCGCACAACGCGAATGCATGTAGACTTTAAACTGTCCGAGACGGGCGAGTAGACCTCGACGTTTACTTGTGGCGAGTAAATCCCCATGTTCATATAGCTGCTAGATACTAGATACTAGCTACTGGGTAGTAGGTGCGAATGACGCCTTTGACAAGAGAGAGTCACAGGCTTGGTTCTCACCCACCAGACCTCTGAATAGCCCGGCGCTGAATCGGCAATGTGAATCCTTTTTGTTGCCCGTCACATGATTGATGTATTTCACATTGACGGCCGAGAGTGCGAGTGTCTCACCCGGGAACAATCCTCGTCCATGTATGTCTCACTTCACCTCTCCGGGAGGCAGTCTGGTAGTAGCAAGCAGTCCGGTGAATAGTCAGCACCGCCCATCACCCAGCCTAGACGGTAAAAAATCCCATTTCCCTCCGCTTTGTCATCTTCTACTCTGTCGACGAGCTCGTGAATCTTCCAACAACCCCCTTTGGTGCGCGGCCCGCGGACAAGACAAAAGCTGCCATTCTTTTCTTTTCATCACCCGGCTCCAATTCGAACTGTCGTTCGTGTTCTGTGTATTACCATGTCCTCCTGCCCTCTTTCATTCATTCATTCATTCTTCTTTCATGTATATAATTCTCCTCATGGACGGATTCGTTGCCGGGCGTGAATGCCGTGAGCCCACCGGGAGTGCAGTTTCGAGAGCTCACAACAGACATCCAGGGAAACCATCTAGCAACCGGACAATTAGGCACGCTGCGTTTCAGATGCCACCCAATGAGAAAAAAAAAAAAGGACTATCGGGTCCAAATTTCTCAGCGGGAACAACAGTGTAGGCTGACTACCCAACGACCGACGGGAGGCCCATTGGCCGCCTGTACAGTCAACAGTCGCGACTTGCGAGAGGCATTGACCGCCGACAAGACGCGTGGAGAGAGCCGTCAAGCTAAACATAGCGTGTGGCTGCGACAGCTCCATGGTCCTGACTGAACTCCTGGCTTTGGAGTCCACCAGAGTCAAAAATCGGGCTTGTCTAGGCACACACTCTCGGCAGCGCGTTGGCCAAACCAACAAAGACGTATCAAACGGTGGCGCCCGCAGGCTGAGACGGACATGGACATAAAGGAGATTCATAATCACCCGACGCCTATCGACCGAGTCGAGCCAGCAACAGGTCAAGCACACCCAAAGAAACGTACCTGGCCCAATTGAACTTGTTCTTCTCTTCATCTACGCTCTCTCAAAGTCCTCCGTCACAATTCTCTAAAATAGCACACGCTCGCCTTTTGCCACCAATATGACTCCCAAAAATTATTGCCTTCCATTCACCGACAATGCTTCCAAAAATCATGCTACTACTCCCAATATCTCTATTCCATCGAAGCCTTCGGGCCACAGCCGCTGACGGCTCATGCCCATGGGCGTATGACTAGGTCCAACAACCGCTTGACTCCTCGCCCGTCAACTTCCACTCCAATTTCGAAATATTAAGGGCTTCTTGACGCCCTAGTTTTTGCCTGGTATCTTTTCCCTATATCGCACATGTCTCTGCAGCGGTCCCCATGTTATATCATGCTCGCCCTATTTTTAAATTTTTATTCATTATTTGCTTAGCCAGAAAACTGGAATCTGGCAGCTTCGAGTTGGCCCAGGCCGTCTCTGGGAGCAACATTGCGACGACGGTAATTAGTGGTGAAGTCTTGTAGCAGAGTGCGCACATGTCTGAGGCCGCTCACATCCCCAGAGGACAACTTCTCCTTGACCTTGGTCACGAATCGTTGCGCTTCCGGTGCCGACACAGTTCCCTGAGGAAGAAGCTCAATCGTATGCGCAACCCACTCAGTAGTTTGTGCTGGCATAATCTCAAACAAGGCCAGTACAACGCCGCTTCCATCCGCAAAGCAGTCCCCGGGGAACGTAATCATCATACCGGCCATGGTTTGTTTGACTAGGTCCGCACCGTGGGCCATCAACAAATTCTTGATGATTCCACGGATTTCAGCAGCTTGTGCCTCCGGAAGACCTTCACTACTTGCCGGATTGTCACCGCCGTACGATAGCAAGTCGCGCAAAAAGTGCAGAGTCGACGAAAGCGGATCTCGTTGCTCCAAAGTTAATGCGTAGACCGAAGCTTGGAAGATTGGCACCAGCAGCTGCGACGGAATCAGCTTCTGAGGGTAATACAAAAGGGCATCAATTAGAAGCCGGAAGAAGTCATCAATGACATCTGGTAAATCTTTAGGCTGCAAATCTGCCATCACTCTAAGGAAGGCGGTTGTTTGAGCCTCAAAGAAGGTGTAGATGTTTTCGGTGGTGGCCTGGTCCAAATGCTCACGGTCTTCCGAGAACTCTCTCAAAATTGCGGATGTAACCCAGAGGAAGCAACCCTCTCTGGATGTGTTGAAGCTGCTGGCGAGCTTGTTGGCCATTTCAGGAAGCAGAGGAGCCATGGCAGTTCGATACGACGTGACCATATTTCGCCAGCATCGACAAATGCGTTCGCAAATGGGACTAAAATCGAGGAAATTGTCCAAAACAGTCGATAAGATGGGAAAGATCTCCTGCCAATACTTGACTGCAGGGTTTTCTCCCCCGGGAGCCACGTACGGAACAACATTCTGCACAAAGATGGTGATGAGTTGGAGGTGATCTTTTAGCGTACAAAGTTAGTCACGTCACGCTGAAAAGGCGGTTCTGTAGTTCAACTTACCAGCCAAGGCTAGCTTGCCTTCTTCGTTGGAAGCGTTGTTGGCTTTGGCCATTAATCGTTGCACCAGAGGGTCGGCATAGGTCTTCAACAACCTGTACGTTTCGTCAACAGGCTGAACGGCGACCACGTTGGCAACACCCTCGGTTATTTCCTCCTTGCTCAGATCAGGTAGCTTGTCCAGGATTTGGTCATAGAATGTTTGGAGCTGCAGCACCTGCCCGCTGAGGAGATTTCTGCAGTCAGTACAGAAGAACTTGAGAGAAAGTGCAGCGGCTCTGAGTATTTCTCTCGACTCTGTCTGGAAAGATTCCACAATGTAATTGAACTGCGGTTCCAAATATTCAGGGTGCGCTGCAGTCCACTCGGTGTATCGCCCCAGAACCATGATTGTCGCGAAGCGAAGCTTTTCGTGACTAGGAATCTGAACCAGTAGCGGCATGAGTTGGGGGAGCACAATACTTTCGTCCTTGTGAACCATTCGACCCAGGGCCCTCATTGCGAAAAGAGGGGCCTCAAGCTCTTGCCAATGGGGAACGTCGGAGCCATTGACTTGCCCGGCATACTTTTGTGTCCACAGCTTAATAGCGTGAAGAACCTTGGTAAGACACTCAGTTACCCCCATGACATCGCAAGAGTCCTTCAAGGTGTCACCCATTCGGTGACGGAACTCTCGGAACTTTTCTTCCTGCTCGCGATCACCATCGAAGAGATCGCTCTCGTTTCCAGACTCGGGCCGGGGATACTCTAGATGGCGGAGCAGGATGTCAACGAGCTTCGAGAAAATATCGACGAGCTCTAGTCTGCCTTGAATGTACCGCTCCAAAACCAAATACTGCTTCAGCTCGTACCAGAAATCGAAAGTGTGCTCAATAACGTCACGCTCCTTGTCTCGAGCAGCGCATTCCAGAACAGCCTCCACCAACGGTCTGAAATGAGACGGTTCGCGAGCAACACCAACCACCCAACTAATCGCAGCTGTCGAAAAGACTTTGGTCAATGCCTTCAACTGGTCCGTATCGTCGGCCTCGGCGGCCTTTTCGATCTGTGGCTTCAGTGCCACGACCCGAGGGTACAATGCATGGACGGCATCTTGGCTCTCATCGATATCCCTGGTTTCCCGGAGCATGGTGCAAAGACACTCGGCGGCTTCCGCACCACTTTCGTCACTCGAAACACCAGCAAAGATGTGATCCAGAAGTGGCGAGTTGATAATGTTCATAACGGGAACTTCTCTCAACCAGGACGTAATGCACTCTATGAGCTGGGGGTTGCGCGGTGCAGCCGCTAAATTTGCAAACAAATAATTAGCATAAATTTGAAGAATTTCAGTTCCAGTCAAGTTGTTGGAAGCGTACGTGATGATTGTGAGTAGCTTATTAGAAGCTGTACCACCTGATCTATGTTGTCTCCCAATAAGACCTGTGTCCGTGCTGCAAGTTCTTCTTCCTATTTTCCAACAAATTAGACAATGATCCCCATGGTGTGTTGATGCCGATCGGATAGTAGGTTTGTCGTCGAAAGAGACTTGGTTCCAAGTCGACGGATTTGCGATCCACGTACAGACAGGGTAATTTTTCGACCTTCGGTCACTTCTTCAGGCAAAACTCTCAAGAAGTCTAGGATACAAGCGTGGCTCTCAGGGCTGTCGCCGAGGGACTGAACCACAGACGGGAGGACGTCGTCCCAGTCCTTCATTTGTATCGCAAGAATAGCCAGACAAACGCATAGCTGCACGCGGATGGGCTTCGGACCGGCAGCAAAGTGCTTTAGCAGAAGCAGAATTTGACCTCTGAGAGCCGGGAGTTCGCTCGGTGGCACCTGGGTAGTTAGATCATATGTGATCTAGTCATGTCAGCAACTTCACGTCGAGAGTGGTTGGGCTTGAGCTTGGGAGGCAGAATAGAAACCTTTCCACGAAGTGTTATAGCGGCAAACAGGGTGGCCTCGGGCTCTGCTGTGGATTGGAGGATTCCCATTATGGTGCCCCATGAATCCTTCTATAAGTCCTCGGTTAGCATGACGTACAGCAATATGCTCATGTGTATTCAATGCATCAACACATACCGACTTCTGGAATCTCTCCAGATACTCATGGGCCTTTGTCTTCGTCTCCTTCTCCCCAGTCCTCATCGTCCTAACGGCAGCTAGTACGTCAGACGGCGAGAACGTCTCTTGTGTACCATTCGAAGCCATGGTGGGCAACGTAAGGGGCTGCGAGAGAGAGAGCCGTGGTGGCCGAATGAGTCGCAACCAGATTTCAAAACGGGCGGGGAGAGCTCGTCTTCATAAGGCCTCACGCGTCCAGAGGGTTGAAAAGCTGCTCCAAGGCAGTCGCAGCACAATTAGAGTAGGGACAATATACGGAGGAATAGATGAAAGTAATGAGAGACGTAGAACACCGTCAGTTGGTTCCGAGTGCAAGGAAGGTTAGTAAGGTGGAATGATGGTTAGGGGACGCAAAAAAGAGAAGCATGAAGCCACACAGCGTGGTTCTTTGAGATTGGTATGACGGGCCATGGCGGGGCGATGAGGTAGCGGGCTGAGGGTGGTTGGTCGCTACATGGTTTTTCCGCTCCGCAGCGGCGAGATATTATGCGCTACTCCCAACTTGGCAATACAAAGAGCGTCATCTTGCAGCTGAAGTAGCCGGAGCAACTGGGGCACCTGTCAGCCAAAGAAGGCCATGAATTATGCTTCACATGTGCATGTCGCGTTAGGACAAATTGCAAGCTTAAAAGCCTGGCGCCTTGGACTTTCCAAGAGTAGCGGGATGTAGTGTGACGGTTGCTTGCGTCTCATGCGGTATATACCACTTTTTGCAGTACTTGCCAGGCACATGCGCTTCTGTAATTATCACGAAGATTTTTAGTGCTTTTTTTTAACGTGTCCTGAGTCTAGAAAAATGAGTAGCCTCATTTCAGCGTTATGCTCCTAGACGACTCCTTTATCTGCCCATTTCCTAACACAAGGCCATGCAGGGGTCTATCATACTGACCCATAGGAATCTGTTCCTCGGATGAACCCGAGAGCATTTGCTCTGTGAGTGCTAATCCGTAAAACAAGATGGGCTTTGTCTCATTAGCTGGGAATGCTGCTTTCGCCAAGTATCTATTCATGAAGAAATCGTAGAAACCCTTGCCGTGGCCGAGCCTCCGAATCGCACCAGACTCATCAAAGTCGAATGCCACACCCGGTAGCAACATCAAGTCCAAGCCAGCTTGGTCTGACCTGTGCGCATCCGGCCCGCCCAGAATGCGCTGGCGCTCGTGAACCGTGGCCGGATCTACGCTGGGAATGCCCCAGCGATCAGGTTGCAAGCTCTCATAGTCTTGCATATTCTTTAGATGGACCATGTCCATGACGCGAGCTGGCGTGCCTGGGGTGTCTAGTGGTGATTTGTGAAGGTAGGGGATAAAGACTTGCTTTCCTGAGTCGAGGGCGTGCCGTACAATTGCATCAGTTTGAACTTCGCCTGAGGGCATGGAAAGATATATGCTAATGCTCTTGGCCTCGACATATGGGCGAAACTCTTTTAATGATTCGCATATCTTGCGGCCTGGCTGGTGTGAGCACGGTGTGTTGGAGAGTATTGTGAGAGTGACACTGTCTTACTCTGAGTGACTATGGAGTCGGCGGGCACGGCGGCGAGTCTTTGCTTCACTAGACTTCGCAGCTGCTGCTTGGCCGCAGAAAGAGATGAAGCCATTTCGAACTGTGTATGGCACACAGCGAGATATACGAGCCGGAGCAAGGGATGCTCGAGGCTGCCGGTGTTTGCAGTCTCGGTGTCGTCACTCCGAAGGTCGGCGAGGCCTTTGTTGTACATAGGCTAGTACTACGTAGGAGCAAAGGTTCGGTAGGCGGCCATGGCTCGGCATTGGCTGGAAAAGCGCCGCTGCATCGGGTGTCAGCCGCGCCGCGCCAAACGGTGTCCTGTGCATTCGTCTCGATGCTTCAATGCTGAGCATCGCGTGTACATGGAACCAAGGCAGCAGCAAGTATAAAGAGAGAGGGAGAGAGATGAAGACCATGTTTCTAGCTTTTTGGAGTTGCAAGAGCCCGCAGCACGTCTTGTCTGGCCGCACCTTCCGCACACGTCATTGTTTCGCGTGTTTGGCCATCGCGTCTCGTTGCCCGTTGCTAGATCTAGCAACATTCTACGGAATACCTAGTATGATCAGTTTCAAAAGTACTCTGTGGAATGAATTGACTGCAATCTACTCCCTCCTGGCACCCTGCCTGCCTGGGTCGTGGACGTGATACGAGTGAGACTGAACAATGTGCCATTTGGTACATGACAGACACCAGGGCTGAGCGGCCCCGCAATGTACTCAACTGAGTAATCCGGCGGCTGACAATTTTCTTGTCCATGTCTAGCGGATGATTGGGCTCAATGGTGTGCCTTGTGCCAGCGAGAATCTGAAGCGTGCCTGACGGTACGGAGTCCTTGGGGCTAGTATTACATCAGGGAGTAAGTACATACCTAAGTACTATTACGATTAGCATTGATCATCATCATTACAGTCACGTACTACTACTAGTATTATTGCCAGAGGTCGTGGCTGCTCGTCCGGAGTCTTTGGTTTGATTAATGTTGGCCTCGAGGCTAATGCACTCCCTAGATAACCAACTATCCTACCAGTCGACTCCCTGCCACGCACGTCGCTCGCCCCTCACATGCATTCCGCCACGAACCGCATCACGCGTCTCCTAGTTTGCATGACAAGTGCTCACGATTTAAGGCTATTTTTCTTTCCGAGTCATGCCGCCTCGAAAAGATACACCCCTTTCGGCAACCATGAGCGTCACAAAAGCGGTGGGAAGCAAAGCTGATCGTGTTGGCGTTGATGCGTAGCGGCTTGGCCCATGATCGGTCTGACTTTTTTTTAGTCTTTGATCACTTTGCAAAACCCCCGAACCTGGTAGATTGGGCCGTCATGTAACTATACTAGTAGGTTACTAGTCGGTAGAGAGTAAATAAACAATGGACAATCGATTCGACTACTCTGGACTCCCTAGAGAATGGAGCATGGGGTAGGTAGGCAGCGAGTCCACACCGTCAAGAGTCCATCACCAGCTCGTTATGCAGATGCCAATGCGTGTCAACGAGATCGATCTCAAGGCCAGCGACCGGCGACCGGCGACCCGGACGGCCTGGCCTGACCTTGACCATCCGGGCTCCCGGTACTACGCAAGGGCCAAGTCAGACTCCGGGTTGTCCTCGGCTGTGGTGTCGTGCCGCCTCGCGGGTTTGGTCATCAAGAATTGATAAATAAACTCTGGCTCAGATTCAACTGCCCTCTTGCATGGTACTCCTTGGACTCCTTGGCGCGCAAAGGGGCCGCTCGTAATTCTTCGCACCCGTCGTTCATGCTCCCATTGGTGCTGCGACCACCCCCCCGAGGATCGTACATGTTGTCCCGACCCAAGGGCAGCTCCATGCCACGCCATCCACGCATCCCTCAACATCCCTAATCAGCCTCTAGTGCTTCTAGTTTTTCCATCATCGTTTCTGTATGCGTATGCAAGGGTCGGCGCTGCACTGCTGCGTCGTTCCTCAGCCAAATCCTCTCGGCCCGCCATTGTCTGCCCCGCCATGGGCCGTCGCACCACGTCCGCGTCCAGCTTGACCGAGTCCGCCACCACGAGCACCACCAGCACCGCCAGCACCACCATTCCCTCCGTCGTCAAGTCCCGTCCGTCCTTCTCTCCGGACGTTGCGGCCAGGGTACATGAGTCCCAATTGCACGCGCAGGGCGTGCCTCTTCAGACCCTAGCACCTCGATCCACTGCCTCATCGTCATCTTTCCCGCCCCAGCCGAGTGAGGCGGAGAGTTCGTCCTACACTGGCCCAAGGGAGTCAACGTCGGTTGTGCGCCCCGCGTCACGCTCATCGTCATCCTCGCCTTCTATACCTGGCCATGACCCTGCATCTCCGAGCCTCAGCGAGGCAATAGCAGAGCCGACTCCTGGCTGCCTTGACCACCAGCTTGACGAAGCCGACATGGCCTCCAAGAAGACGCCAATGCTTCGTGCCATGGATGGTTCTCGATCTACCTCCTCTCCATACGGCTCCGTCACCCGTAGCCACGACGACTCTCCCGTGAGCAGCGATTCCGAAGATGATCATAATAACCACCGACTTCGTCGAATCGGTTCTCAGAATCGGAGCCAGTTGAGTCTAAGCTCGCGCCGGTCCATGACCTCATGGCGATCCGAGGACCTCGACGGAGCCGCCCTAATGTCCGGGCTCGAGGGCCGGTTCGGAATAGCAGAATCCGCCTTTCCCAGCGAGATTTTGGACCACGACAAAGATGGCGAAGACATCAGCTCCGAGGACGGGCTTCTGCTCGAGGACGCCTCGTCGACGGCGTCGACCATTGAACCCGAGGACAACTCACCACACGAACTTGTTCGAGCTTCCGTGCCCCCGACTGATAATACGACCCTCTCAATAAACACGCCTCGTATGTGGTGCTTGTCAGTCATCTTCTCCATTCTTGGCTCCTCGACAAATTTGTTCTTCTCATTACGGTACCCAAGCGTCGCTATTACCCCAGTCATAGCTCTGCTGCTTGTTCACCCTCTCGGACACCTGTGGGACATGATTCTCAAACGACCCGACGATCCCGACTACGTATTTGTTGATGGAGTCCGCACCCAGGCCGTGAGTGAGGGAGCAGGCCAGACTCACCAAAAGCATGCAACTTCGTGGCGCCAATGGCTGGCACAGGGGAGGTGGAACGAAAAGGAGCATACGTGCGTATATGTCAGTAGCAATGTCGCTTTTGGTTTTGCATTTGCGACGGATGTCATTGTCGAGCAGACTAAATTCTACAACCAGCCGGCTTCGATTGGGTATCAGCTGCTCTTGACGATATCAACACAAATACTCGGTTACGGCTTTGCTGGCATGGCTAGGAGATTTCTGGTTCGCCCGAGCGGCATGATTTGGCCGGGTACTCTCATGTCCGCCGCCATGTTTTCCACGCTACACAAACAGGACAATAAACCTGCCAACGGCTGGACAATCAGCAGATGGAAGTTCTTTTACATTGTGTGGAGCGGCGCCTTTGCATTCTACTTCTTGCCGGGGCTGTTAATGCCGGCGCTCAGTTATTTCAGCGTCGTCACCTGGTTTGCGCCCAAGAACGTCGTCGTTGCCAATCTCTTTGGCGTGGCCTCTGGTCTGGGGCTCTTCCCCCTGACATTTGACTGGGCGCAAATCACATATGTTGGCTCCCCTCTTCTGGTCCCGTTCTGGGCTGCTATGAATGTCATCGGCGGTCTCGCCATTGTCATGTGGATCATTGCGCCCGTCTTCTACTACGCCAATGTCCTCTACACATCATACCTGCCAATCCTATCAACAGGTGTCTTTGATAACAGGGGTAAAATCTACGACGTCTCCAAAATCTTGACCTCTGAGTTCCTCTTCGATAGGGACGCCTATAAACAGTACAGCAGGGTGTTCCTTCCAGTGACATACATGCTCAGCTATGGCATGCAGTTCGCCGGCCTCGCCGCTCTTCTCACCCATACCTTTTGCTGGCATGGCAAGGACATATGGCGGACATGGAAGAGATCCATCGAGGAAGCGCGCCAAAATGGCAAACCTACGTATCGACCCGTACCAGAATCACAGTCACACCCAATCTCGTCGTCAACGGGGAGCTTGGGCAGCGAGAACTACAGCCGCTTTTCGGCCTCGACATCCAACGTCGACAACCTCATCAGCCGCGAAGACATCCACTGCCGTCTGATGAGTCGGTACAAGGACGCCCCGTTGAGCTGGTACTTGCTCACTTTTGTCTCCATGACAGCCATTGGCATGTTTATTGTCGAATTGTAGGTGCCCCGTCCAAATCTCCCAGACACACGCAACCAAAAAAATAAAAAACCACGTTGTTTCTAACCATAGCAGCTACCCCGTCCATCTCCCCTGGTACGGCCTTCTACTGTCCCTCGCCATCGGCGCCATATTCTTCATCCCCAACGGCATCATCATGGCCGTCACCAACCAACACAGCAGCATCTACCTCATCTGCCAACTCATCTGCGGCGTCGTGTTCCCTGGCCGCCCCATTGCAAACATGGTCTTTGTCACCTACGGCTATATTTCCTCCGCGCAGGGCATCAAGTTTGCATCCGACCTCAAGCTCGGGCACTACATGAAAATCCCACCCCGACTCATGTTCCTCGTCCAAGTCGTCGCCACCCTCGTCTCGTCCGTCACGCAAATCGGCGTGTTGAACTGGATGTTCGCCAACGTCAAGGGCATCTGCACCGCCGACGCCCTCAACGGCTTCACATGCCCCATTGCGCGCGTCCACTTCAACGGCTCTATCCTCTGGGGCGTCGTCGGACCAGGCGAGTTCTTCGGCCCCGGAGCCACCTACCGCGCCCTGGTCTGGTGTTTCCCGCTCGGCGCCCTCCTCCCCATCCCGCTGTGGCTGTACGCGCGCAACAAGCGCGGCAGCATCATCCGCAAGGTCAACCTGCCCGTCATATTCGGCGCAATGTCGTGGATCCCCCCCGCCACGGGCCTCAACTTCTCCGTCTGGGCCGTCGTCTGCTACGTCTTCAACTACCTGATCAAACGGCGCGCAAACGCCTGGTGGGGCAAGTACACCATGACCCTCAGCGCCGCTCTCGACTCGGGTCTGGCCTTTGGCATTGTCGTCGTCTTCTTCGGCTTCTTGTACC